TTCGTCGTGTCGTCATTGATGTCTCGGATCTCGATAGTCTCCTGTGGTCCTTTGCATATCACTTTGGCTTCCTCTTTAGGGATGTCCGCGATGGTCTTTTGTAGGGGTTCGCCTCTATCAGCACTCTTTCTCGAAAGTGTGATCAGCATGTCCCCGGTATTGGTCTTGTGGATTTTTTCCACAGTCGTACGAACCTGTTCATCAGGGACGGACTGCTTGATTCGACGCAGAATCTCGGCGTATTTCTCCTTCTCGGCAGGGCGAATGATCAGTGCGTCGGGTCTGATCCATTTGCGGGGTTTTTCCCGCTTACGCTCCGGCCTGGGCTCCTTCGAATTCTGCTTTAGGAGCTGCTCTTCGGCTAGTCTCCTCTTCTCCTTCCTTGATTGGACGTTTTGCCAGGCAGCTGCGTCTTTATTTTAGGCGTTCTGCTTCGTCACGTCTTTCGGACGACTTGACTTCAGGTCCTTCTTCTTTGCCACTCGCCTTTCTGTTGGATCTGGCGAGTTTCGGTCCTTCCTCTTATTAGACTTGGGAGCACCTCCACTCTTGTCGTCAGCAACAGATTCACCGTCACCGTCAGCACCGGTGTCCATTGATTCCTCAGTCTCAAAAACAGCTTGACTGCCTTTCTCTGGCGTAATGCGAGGCGTTAGTCGTCGTGATGACTGCCATTCCTCGGCCAGTTTCTTGTATCTTCTAAGAGCATTGACTACACCGGTTGTCTTGGTCTTAATCTCCTTGAGGATGTTGACCTTAGTTTGGACAAATTTTCGTAGCTCAATGGTAAGCTTTTCACGGCGCTCCAGCGCTTGCGTTCTCTTCATTTCAGCACTTTCTTCAATCGCTGCTTGTTGGGCATGAAGCCCGTTTCCACTCTTGTTTGTTTCCAGTAAATTACTCATGCTTTTTGATTCACCAGCGCATCGTACGGAGTGGAGCGGGTTGTCATAACTAGGAACGGGTGTACCCTCGGAGATAGTGCTCCTACCCCAGTTCTCTGAGGCCTAGCCGACACTTAGCCAGTCCCGGAATACACGGACGGACTAGACTCGCTCGGGGCGGTGAAGATTCCGATCTCTAACACTCACTGCGTACTTCTTGATCAAGGCCCGAAGTGACTGGCTCCTGATCCACTACACTGCAACTTACACCTCGGCAGAGCAAGCTCACATCAGCCGTGGCCTGCATCGTCGGAAACTACGATACAGGTTCCGGACACTCCCAGTGAGTTACAGCAGGGACCGATCGTCTTGTTAGGTAAGTTAGTGTGACCAACCCATTAAAGGGGAGTTTTGTCCACGGGAGCGTATTTTGTTTGGT